ACGGAGGTTTGTTTATTTCAATAAAATTTTTCATTCCGGAAAGCTCACATTTAACGGGCTTTTTCAAAGGCTTTCAAAAGCTCTAACAAAACAATGTATATAGGAGTAATGACTAATGAACGCGGTGCAAATGCTGAATGCGGAAAGAATTACGAAATCCCTGACCGTCGTTTTGAGACGAAAAATGCCCGACCGGGCAGGCCTCATTTTGGGTCAGGGGGTCAAATTATATTCCCCTTTCTAGGGAGCAAAACTCCAGTGAAATACCCGGCCGGGGTGTGCCCGGGGGTATGGATGGTTTTGGAATTGACCCGTGCATTATATTCATTCAAAACAATTCCTAGTTTAAAAACAAGCTAAAATATAATACGCCGTATCTCGATCGATGAATGACGTTCCCTTCTAACTTTGCCCCTTTTAAACTCGGCAAGGGACACTTACGTGGCAGATTTGATTTAGCATGCATTTATGAGTTTGTGTTTTTTTTTTATATCTACTTTGGATTAAAAGAAAAAAAAACTGGAAATTTAAAATAGCCTGCAAAACAGGCGCTTTATGAGCCAAGCGAGGCGCAACTTCAGGATAGTCCTGATAAACTGCATTTTTACATTGATAGTAGAAAAAACAGGGATTTAGATTTGAAGCTGCACGAAGCAATACAGAAATTAAACTGCTGACTGACCGTGAGCTTATTTTTCTTTGGTTTTATTTCAGTTCAGTTCCTTATTAGCCAAAAAATGAAAAATGAAATGAAAAATAATTGGAATAAATTTCATGCTTGTGCTCCCATTTTGGCAGCTGTTTATCAATCTATTTCAGATACTAAAGTAACCGGGGCACCCAACAACAATTTCGTCCTAAAAACATTAAAAACACTTTTTAGCGGAGTTCCAGGCGCTCGCGGAGCCCCATTGCTAAGAAAATTGGGTAATTTATCCATCCGAGAAATTTAGTCAGGGCTAAAATCGAAGCTACCGTTTAATAAACTTATACTTTAAATCAAACAATAAACTTCGTAATCCACATGCAAATCAGTTAACTTTAGGGCAGATTTATATAAACTTTTGTAGGAAAGGCTAAGTGATTTTAGAACAAAAGTAATTTGCAAACGGTCCAAGACTGAAACAAATCTTACATCGAGTTCAGATAGGCCCGCTTTATTTTTCTCCTCCCCTCGTCTCGCCCTTCGCGCAAAATGCCGCGTTCGCCTCGCATCAATGGCTCATAAAGCGCCTCAATAGAGTACTAAAGTGATGACGTCATAAAAATGAAATTTCTGAAATTATGGGATTTGTCCGGATATTCTGAAAGAACAATGTCCAAGAGGCCTACTTGCCAAAAATGAGCATTTCGGGGCAAATTGTCTCTGAGATAGTAGCCCAGTTATACTTAGAAAACTCCATACAAACCCTTCTAATTTTTTTGGGGGTCGACCCAAAAAAAAATTAGAAGGGTTTGTATGGAATTTTCTAAATAACTGGGCTACGATCTCAGAGACAATTTGCCCCGAAATGCTCATTTTTGGCAAGTAGGCCTCTTGGACATTGTTCTTTCAGAATATCCGGACAAATCCCATAATTTCAGAAATTTCATTTTTATGACGTCATCACTTTAGTACTCTATTGAGGCGCTTTATGAGCCATTGATGCGAGGCGAACGCGGCATTTTGCGCGAAGGGCGAGACGAGGGGAGGAGAAAAATAAAGCGGGCCTATCTGAACTCGATGTAAGATTTGTTTCAGTCTTGGACCGTTTGCAAATTACTTTTGTTCTAAAATCACTTAGCCTTTCCTACAAAAGTTTATATAAATCTGCCCTAAAGTTAACTGATTTGCATGTGGATTACGAAGTTTATTGTTTGATTTAAAGTATAAGTTTATTAAACGGTAGCTTCGATTTTAGCCCTGACTAAATTTCTCGGATGGATAAATTACCCAATTTTCTTAGCAATGGGGCTCCGCGAGCGCCTGGAACTCCGCTAAAAAGTGTTTTTAATGTTTTTAGGACGAAATTGTTGTTGGGTGCCCCGGTTACTTTAGTATCTGAAATAGATTGATAAACAGCTGCCAAAATGGGAGCACAAGCATGAAATTTATTCCAATTATTTTTCATTTCATTTTTCATTTTTTGGCTAATAAGGAACTGAACTGAAATAAAACCAAAGAAAAATAAGCTCACGGTCAGTCAGCAGTTTAATTTCTGTATTGCTTCGTGCAGCTTCAAATCTAAATCCCTGTTTTTTCTACTATCAATGTAAAAATGCAGTTTATCAGGACTATCCTGAAGTTGCGCCTCGCTTGGCTCATAAAGCGCCTGTTTTGCAGGCTATTTTAAATTTCCAGTTTTTTTTTCTTTTAATCCAAAGTAGATATAAAAAAAAAACACAAACTCATAAATGCATGCTAAATCAAATCTGCCACGTAAGTGTCCCTTGCCGAGTTTAAAAGGGGCAAAGTTAGAAGGGAACGTCATTCATCGATCGAGATACGGCGTATTATATTTTAGCTTGTTTTTAAACTAGGAATTGTTTTGAATGAATATAATGCACGGGTCAATTCCAAAACCATCCATACCCCCGGGCACACCCCGGCCGGGTATTTCACTGGAGTTTTGCTCCCTAGAAAGGGGAATATAATTTGACCCCCTGACCCAAAATGAGGCCTGCCCGGTCGGGCATTTTTCGTCTCAAAACGACGGTCAGGGATTTCGTAATTCTTTCCGCATTCAGCATTTGCACCGCGTTCATTAGTCATTACTCCTATATACATTGTTTTGTTAGAGCTTTTGAAAGCCTTTGAAAAAGCCCGTTAAATGTGAGCTTTCCGGAATGAAAAATTTTATTGAAATAAACAAACCTCCGTACTGGACAACTTTACGAGACTTTAGATATTTTGGATGTGTTTAGTAGGAAATTTACCATCAGGTGCTATTTGAATAAACGGTTTTGATGGATGGGAAAATTTTTGAATAGTGGCTCCAGTGATGGGTAAGGGATTTGACGCTTTCTGAAGCGCTAGTCGGTGGGGTATTTGACCATCCAAACTACCAACATACCGGGGAATTTGACCAAAAGTTTTCAAAAAATTCAAATGCCCGGGGGTTTGCCCAGCGGGGCGGGGGTTGTGGAATTGACTGGTACATAATAAAGCATTTATTGGATTCGGCTTTCTTAAGATCTGAAGAATTATGCAGATCTCGAAGGCATTGCTAATTAATCGTGTGAAAATATATTCAGTCAAACACTTTTAAAGTTGTTTTTCCACAAATATACTATATAGTGCGCTCAGTTCGACGCCCCCAAGAATAACTAAGTGTTCACAGCATATCGAGGTCAATGCAAGGGTTTCATGTGTTCTTGAATTCTAAAACTTACGCAGCTAATATACCAAATTGAAGGAACTCGAAAAGAACTAGCCTGCGTAGCTGGCGGGATTGTTGTGCCCGGTAAACTTTCTTGGCGACGGAGTGAGCGGTGACGCCGCGAGCGAGGGATTTTTGTGAGCTGGCGGGATTGTTGCTCGGGGTACTTTCTTGGCGGTGGAGCTGCCACGCGAAACGAGTGGCGACGCCGCGAGGAAATTACTCCTAATCTTCACTTTGCTCTGCCACCACAAAAAAAAACACTCGCCCGCTAANGGGATTTGACGCTTTCTGAAGCGCTAGTCGGTGGGGTATTTGACCATCCAAACTACCAACATACCGGGGAATTTGACCAAAAGTTTTCAAAAAATTCAAATGCCCGGGGGTTTGCCCAGCGGGGCGGGGGTTGTGGAATTGACTGGTACATAATAAAGCATTTATTGGATTCGGCTTTCTTAAGATCTGAAGAATTATGCAGATCTCGAAGGCATTGCTAATTAATCGTGTGAAAATATATTCAGTCAAACACTTTTAAAGTTGTTTTTCCACAAATATACTATATAGTGCGCTCAGTTCGACGCCCCCAAGAATAACTAAGTGTTCACAGCATATCGAGGTCAATGCAAGGGTTTCATGTGTTCTTGAATTCTAAAACTTACGCAGCTAATATACCAAATTGAAGGAACTCGAAAAGAACTAGCCTGCGTAGCTGGCGGGATTGTTGTGCCCGGTAAACTTTCTTGGCGACGGAGTGAGCGGTGACGCCGCGAGCGAGGGATTTTTGTGAGCTGGCGGGATTGTTGCTCGGGGTACTTTCTTGGCGGCGGAGCTGCCACGCGAAACGAGTGGCGACGCCGCGAGGAAATTACTCCTAATCTTCACTTTGCTCCGCCACCACAAAAAAAAACACTCGCCCGCTAATCTTAGTTGGAAAAAGAACTTCTTAATATTATCCAAAAACATGACCTATAGTAGTCTGTTGTCTTGTTTGATCAAATTTACCCAGATATTTCTCGTAGAAAAGCCTGGAAATACGCTTTGTTTTGATTCAGAACTCAATCTTCATTTGTGAAGTCTTGATAACCAAGAATTCTCTTCTTATCCTGAGGGGCGGGCGCGCTAAGCGCAGTGTTAGCCCTGAAGAGTAACTGAGTGGGAGGCTATTGGATCAGTGGTTTCCAGGAAATTTGGGCTATTGGCTATTGGCCAATCGTTGAGCCAAATAAAACATGTTAATTGTTTTTCAAATTCACGGTTGCGAAGAGCTTAAGCGTCGAAAAAGTGTAGGCTGATGACTTCTCCGCTAAGCTAATTAAGATCGAGGTCTAGACTCCCCACCATCTTAAGGAAAATACGGGACTGTGAACAGACTATTAACTCAGAAACAGAAAGAGCCATCGTGATACGAAACATATTTATTGTCAAGCGGCATCATCGATAAAACGCAAGTGTGTCTTTGAGTACTTCTGTTGAATATAAGGTCAAAAAAACATTTTGTTATAAAACATCATGATTTAACACTACTTTCACAGACTGAGAGACCACACGTGACAAACGAGATAGATAATAACACGACCTATTTCATAAAATTTACCTCTGATATAAAGAAATTTGTATAAAACTTTCTCTGACTGTATTATGTTAAAGAATAACTTCTTCAATCTCGTCATCAATGTCGCCCAGCGCATTGTTCACAGCGCGAACGTTTTGTTGCAAGTGTACTCTACGCCGAGGTAGTAAAGAATCCCCTTCACTGTTTTTCCGTGTGACGTCTACTTTATTCTCCCACGGATAGGAGGATTTGTCTTTGTTTAATGACTTGTCCCCAAACAGAGGTTCTCCTGTTGGCTTAGGATTATCATTTTCAAACAGATCATCGCCAAACACCGATGCCCCTTTACTTGCGAAGCCTCTTGTTCTTCGATTCCGCACTTGACTGTCTCTGTCACCAAATATATCCCCGTTTTGCTGAGTTGAAGCAGTTTTAGTGGATGCGCCGCCTAACGTTGGTTTATAATCACCAAGTATTACACCATTTTGTTCTTTCTGGGGTATAGCTTTCTTCCCCGTCCCGAAGTCAAGACCACTGTTTTTCCGCGTCGTGTCTTTTTTCGCGCCAAAAGAAGGATTATAACCTCCGAATGAGAGTTCATCTTTTTCTCTACTGTCTCTTTTCGCGGCAGCCCTTCTGCCGAGTGTTGGTTTATAGGAACCAATGCTAAGATCGTCCGACAACGAGTCCTTGCCGTCTACTTTGGCGCTTTGATCTTTAATGTTCTCAAGTGACACATGGGCGGGAAGTCCATGATGAAGATTCTCCACAGTTTGTTTGAAATCATAGGAATAGCTACTATGTTTGGAACGGGCACTGCTCCGTTTCTTTCTATCCCCTCCGATATCAGAAAAAACATCGTCGTCAGAGGCCACACTTTTCGGCGCAGGCTTTGCTTTCTGCGGCTCTGGTTGGTCACTCTGAAGAAAGATTGGTAGCTTTTTGGGTTTATCATTAACAGGAGGATCCGCAGTATGTCCTACTGTTACACCACTGTCTGGTTTATCGTTACCTGTATCTATCGCTCGCATCCGAGCCAACAACAAGTCTTTCTTTCGCCGAACTTCCGCGTCTTCTTCGAACCGCTTTCTCTCTTCTTCTTCTTTCTGTTTTCGCAAGCGTTCTTCTTCTTCCCGTTGTTTGTTTAGCTTTTCTTCTTCCTCCCTTCTCCGTCTTTCTTCCTCTGCTTTTCGCTTCTCTTCCTCCTCTCTCCGCTTCAGCTCTTCTTCCTCCAAGCGCCTTCGTCGCTCATCTTCGTCAAGTCTACTCCGTTCCTCTGCGCCCCCTCTAAGTCTATCATCATCATCCTTATCACGTTTATTAGCTTCTAACACAATTGGTTTAGCCGCTTCAGAAACAGTCGGCTTATCCTGTCGAACTTCAACTTTGAAAGACCTCTCCACTTCATCCGTTAACACTGAGCCAGTATCACTCGGTGCGTTTGTTAAAAACACGTTTGCCCGTTTCTCTTGGGTATCCGCGGATTTTGAAGCATGAATAACAGGAGCGCTAATAGCAGGAGCCTGGGGCTCAGCGGGGAGGGCTGGCAATGTAACGCCTTTCTTCTTCTGTTTAGTAATTTGGTAATGGTAAATGTTCTTCTCATCCAACTCTTTTTCCTTTTCCTGTAAAATAAGACATATGGGATAATTAAACTTTAAAGCTCTAATACTAACAAAAGGGTCATACAAATTATTAAAGACATAAAAAGTTGGCCAGGTCTTTTTCTTAAGTCCCGGTTGGTTGTCGTGGACAAGTAGATTTTCTTTGCCTTATATAAAGGAATCCAAGACAGTCTTGGATTCTGGATTGCAATCGTCAGTGGGATTCTGGATTCCTTGAGATGTATTCCGGATTCTAAAGCTTAGGATCCCACCAGTTCCACAAGCAAAAAAATTCCCGGATTCTTGAACCTGGATTCCCTTGCACGGGGCGATTTTCCTGCTACCGAATAAGAAAGTCATCTCATACATGTAACGTGAATTAATAAACTTGATGTTTTTCCCCTCTTTTTTTGGAAACAAGTGCTCCCCGTTATCGCAATAAAAAAAGGTATTGAAAGCAGCAGGGGGCGGGGAAGGGGCACATTTGTATTAATATTACACCTTAATGAATTATAGAGATGCGACTTAATTCTAGGAAAGTTTCGATGGATTCAATGTAATGCGATTACATATTGTGCTGACTCGCTATTGATCGATGGGCTGTCCATCTGAAACGTTGTTGCTTCACGCCAAAAAAAAAGAGAAAAAGAAAACTAAAATTACAGAGGGAAGGAAGAAGACCGCGTGAGACATTTTTTAAATTTTAATATTGTTTTTTCCGATCCAGAATCATTTAAACGAATTCTTTATTTTGTGCTTTTAACTTAAAAAACAGGTGAACAACTAAATTAATGAGAAAAGATTGTTTTGTTAGAGCAAAAACAAAAAAAGGTGAATTCTTGGTCTAAACATTTCTAAAATTGTAATGGAAATATCGCTTAATTTTTTCCGCCACATTTCTGACAGAAGCCAAATTACATAAGGAAAAACCAGACGCAAAATTTATATAAACAGTTGGTAAGAGTCTAAAATTAAAAAAGTCATATTAAAAAGGTGTATTCCTGAATTCAATTTTCAACAAAAACAAGCTTCCGCTTTAAATGTTTATTCATCAACATTTATGAAAATTCTACATGCTTTTTAACGAGCTATAGATATGAACTGCCTACACTGCAGACGCCTATACAAAGTATAAGTTGATGTAAA